TGGGGAGGGTTGGGGGGGATGGGGGCCCCCCCCCTGCCCCGGGCTGACCCCCCCCCCCGCCCCCCCCCCCCCCCCCCCCCCCCCCCCCCCCCCCCCCCCCGGGCTGACCCCCCCCCCCTGCCCCGGGCTGACCCCCCCCTGCCCCGGGCTGACCCCCCCCCCTGTGCCCTGGGATAAGCCTCTTACCTCTCTCGGTCACACTGGGGCTCTGAGCCGACTTCGGATTTCCCCCCCCCCCCATCCCCCCCAACCCTCTCCACCCCCCATCCCCCCCCTCCCCCCCCCCCCCCCCCCCCCAGGGGAACTTGCACAAGTTGTGCTGAGAGCTTTGTGGCCACTGTGGCTGGTGATGTGCAGAGGAGAGGTTTGCAGAGTGGTTGAGCTGCTGTTGGAAGACAGGTAATGAACATTTTGGGGCACATTTTTCTGGGCTGGGGGGGTGGGGGGGGGGAAGCTGTGTCTGTTTGCTCAACTGACTGACTGCCTGTGTGGGGGGAGCGGATTTTAAGCGCCTGGACCCGAGATTCGCATTCGCACTCCGATACCACACAGGAGCCGCTCAGTGCTGGAAGTCAGTGGTTTCAGTATTCCACTTATTTATAAGAATAATCCCTGCGTTTGATACAGCGCCTCATCACGTCTCCGAGACGTCTCAAAGCGCTTCGCAGGATATGCTGTAAAATGAATTGACCGTATATTTTATGGGTCAGAACGCGGCAGCCAATTTCACACAGCAGCGTCCCCACAAACACTCGTGGATTGAGTGACCAATTTATTATTATTATTGTTTGAAGGAATCATTACACCCAGGAAAGCGATCCGCCAAATGACTAACAACCGGATTCCTACTCACTGCGAGGCGTGTGGAGTAAGGGAACTTGCTCAACATTTCACCCTGCCGGGAATCTAACCCATGTCCTCTCGCTTGCGAGGCGAGTGCTCTAACCACTGAGCTACAGAACTCCACATGATATTTGTGTTGGAGAGTACCGTACAGCTGGATTTCTGCCGCTATAGATTTCTGAGGCTGTTATTTTGGTGAATTTCCGAATGGATTTAGATGCTGAGTGATTGCAGATTCTCATTGAGGGCTGGGGCTGAGGGCTAGGGACTGGGGCTGAGGGCTAGGGACTGGGGCTGAGGGCTAGGGACTGGGGCTGAGGGCTAGGGACTGGGGCTGAGGGCTAGGGACTGGGGCTGAGGGCTAGGGACTGGGGCTGAGGGCTAGGGACTGGGGCTGAGGGCTAGGGACTGGGGCTGAGGGCTAGGGATTGGGGCTGAGGGCTTGGGGCTGAGGGCTTGGGGCTGAGGGCTAGGGACTGGGCTGAGGGCTAGGGACTGGGGCTGAGGGCTTGTGTCTGGGGCTTGTGTCTGGGGCTTGTGTCTGGGGCTGAGGGCTAGGGACACAGCTAGGGACTGGGGCTGAGGGCTAGGGTCTGGGGCTGAGGGCTTGGGGCTGAGGGCTTGGGGCTGAGGGCTAGGGACTGGGGCTGAGGGCTAGCGACTGGGGCTGAGGGCTAGTGTCTGTGGGGTGTGGGGGTGTTCTACCCTGTATTCAATAGATGCTTCAGCTCACAGTCTTGACTGACACTCTGGTGCAGTGCCGGGGAAGCTCTGGGGAAGAAGCTGAGCTCCAGATGAGATGTTAAACTGAGGTCCATTTGTGCTGGTTCAGCCTCGATGGGAAACGTATAGGAAAGTAGATTAACGATCCGTGACACTGATCAAATTGATCACTTGCTTCCTGGCTGTTTGTGGGACATTGCTGTGTACAAATTGACTGCTGTGTCATCTATGAAAGTGCAGTCACTGCACTTTGCAGTATATCCTGTGTAATGTTTGAGACACCCTTCCGATATGAAAAGCGCAATATCAAATGCGAGGATTATTATTATTATTGTTATCCATCAGTGAAACTGGGACTGTCAATAAGACTATTCTGAAATGCCTTGACGAAATATTGGACAAAATATGATTGTGTTATTATTATTTATTATTAATAGGTATTATTATTACGTATTGGATGATTGTGAGACTGACATTTGAATGTAGTCATGTGTCTCTTGGTCCCGATGCTGTGCTGGTAACAGTCAATAAAGATCACATTTGTTTTGGTATTTGCTTCGTGCTGGATTCGGGTTGAACGCGGGGAGACAATCTGAGTGGGTTTTATTTGGAGGCTATTTCGAGTGAATTTATCGTTAATCTTTCTCGAGCAAAAGTCACCACTCGGAAAATCGTTGTTTGTATAATTATCCTGTTTGATCTGTAAGGGAAGTAAATTACTCATTGAGTGGTTTGGGATGAAGTTCAGACCCTTTGCACTTTGAAGCTTAGAAATCTAGCTGAGTTCTCGCTGGGCATTTTGGATGATTAGTTTAGTTTATATCGAAAACACTGAGGGGTAAAACAATAAGCTTGAATTTCCGAGCTGCTTTCCAAGGTGTTGTTAATGCTATGCCATTTCAGAGCTGTTTTGATTCTCAACTCAAACCGTTGTGAAAACCGGAAAGTGCTGCTGGAGAAAAAATCCACTGGAAAAATTCCAATTATACAGTCATGAGAAATTGGCCTGAAATGTATGTAACACTCAGCAGAATAAATAAATAAATACATCGGTTAAAAAATAAATACATTAATAAATAAACAAACCAAAATACACTGTCTGTCTGTCTGTCTGTCTGCCTATCTATCTGTCTGTCTGATTGTCTGTCTGTCTGTTTGTCTGACAAAACACAAAATACTGCAGATGCTGGAAATCTGAAACAAAACAGAACGCTCAGCAGGTCAGGCAGCATCTATGGAGAGAGGAAAGTGAGTCAACGTTTCGGATCCAGGACCCTTCCTCAGACGAAGGGTCATGGACCTGAAATGTTGACTCATTTGACCTGCTGTCTGTCTGTCTGTCTGTCTGGCTGGCTGTCCGTCTGTCTTGTGTTCAGCCCTAATTATGTGTATGTGTTGGGTGCTAAACTTTGTTCTCTGCCTCCATTCATGGTTGACATTCTCACCGCTGTACGATCTGTGAGAAAGAGCAAAACTTTTTACCTCCCATCTGGTAAATTCATTCTCCAAACACAACTATTTTGTTTCACTTTGGAGGCAATTAAGTCTTGAGCCCTACAATTGGATTAATATGTGTAGGACTGTTTAATTGCCAGTCTCTGGATTTCTGCTGTTAATCTTGTTTCTATGATATAAGTAGCTTATCATTTTAATAATTCATTCACATGCGTTTTTAACTAGAAAGCGCCCAGTTAGTGAATCAAATTTCTCTATCATTTTATTTTAGATTTCTTCCCTGTTATACCTGTTCTATATGCTTGTCACCACATTCAAATGCAATATTTGTTTAAAAGAACACAGCTACATTCCTTGTCTAATGGTGCATGCTTGGCTCTTACCAACCTGGAGGCACTTTTTATTCTTCTTTCTTGAACAGAATGAAAATATTTAGTGCGATTTTGCACAGTTCATTTTTATCGATATTAAAAAAAATCTCTTTAACATTAGTCCCTGCAAGAAGGGTTTTGATACATCACATAAGATTAAAATCCTTCCCCATCTTCAGGTCACGCCTGAAGATATTCCTCTATGACCGTGTCTACGGTCACCTCACCCTTCCCCCAGCTTGGCATTGTGCTGCGTACTGTCAAGCGCTCTGGGATGTTACCATGGATGAGTGAGGGGCGCTGTGCAAATGCAAGTTGAGGTTGTTATCATTTTCTCCCGATCTCCTTGTTTTTGCCCATTTGGATTCTTCCCGCTTCCTACTTGTGTCACAGCCTGCGTCATTCGGAAGCACTTTTGCTTTGGGTGAGAAGGTTGTGGGTGGCAAGCCTGTTGTCAGGACTGTGGGATAGCACTGCATTGTCAGAAGGTTTGGTCACGCTATTGGAGGGGCTGTTCTTTGGCTGTTCAGGTGGCTCTCGCAGATCCCCTGACAAGATTGGAAAAGAGAAGAGACATTTTGCTGATGTTCTGGCCAACAGTATAAATTATTTGTTCATTTTATATCATTCTTATGTGATATTGCTCGGCACAAATTGGCTTACAGATTTGCTTACAAACACGCACTCAACAGCAATTCCCTGTGGAGTGCTTTGGGGACATTTTGACATTTTAGGCTCAGTATCAAACGCAAGGGATTATTATCACAACAGGAACACTTGAGGAGCAGATGTAAGTTAACGATAAACCACCACAATAAACACATCACGAGGTGAGTTTTTGTCATGTAAAATTGGGCGGAAAAATCCCTAGGAGACAAAAGCAGAAATGCAAAGTGAAACTGGGATAAAACCTAACCTATTGACCTAACACACTTTAAGATTTATTCACTGGCCGTCTTGTAAAAATTAATTCCAACAATCAACTAAACTGGCTGACAGCATAGCCTACTATGCTTGTAAAACCCACAGTTATTATATATTCGCCCACAAATATACAGTCAATTCACTTTACAGTCAATTCTGTGAAGCGCTTTGAGAGGTCGAGAAGACGTGAAAAGCGCTATATCAAATGCAAGGATTATTATTATTATAATTGTTCTCAATGCAATAGGGGCTAATTATTATACAGCTCATCTGACTCAACCCACCCACACTCTCAGTGTATTTTTTGTCTGACACGTGAGGAAACCCATCACTGAGCTTAAGAGTATCCAAACCAAACTGAGAATTCCATGCATCCCACCTACACATGGAAATCCCTGAGACAGATTGTTGGAATAGAACGCTCTCTCTCCCTGGAGGGACACTTCTTGCTTACCTAATTCTGCAAAGTATCAGGTGCAGCTGTACAAACCTTAGACAATATTGAAAAAATGCCCAGATTTGCCTCCTTAACCTTCTCCCACTACAGAATATTCAATCCTTTGATCAGAGGTCTGAAAACCAAATTCAACTAACGGAACACTGTATCCGTGTGAGTTTCTCTTTCCATTCCATTACAGGGCCTGAAATTCCACCTAGTCTTAGCCAGTTTAGACCTTTTTGCCTTAAATAGCAAGCGAGAGATCTGGGTTCGATTCCTGGGCAGGGCGAAACGTTAGGCGAGTTTCCTCTCCACACGCCTCTGTTTACCTAGCAGTAAGTAGGAACCTGGTTGTTAGATGATTGGTGGATTGCTTTTCTGGGGGTAATAGTCCCTTCAAAAAATAATAATAATTTGTCACTCAATCCATTTGGTCACTGTTTGTGGGACACTGCTGTGCGCAATTGGCTGCCGCATTTTGCCCACAAAATATACAGTAAATTAACTTTATAGTAGTATTCTGTGAAGCGCTTGGAGATATCTGAAAGGTGTGGTAAGGTGCTATATCAAATACAGGGGGAAAAAAACAGTACAGCTCACACTTACACAGCCACTTTCACATTGGGAACGATGTTCCTAAGTGC